ATTCTAAGGCTTTTCAAGGCCCTTGAGAGCAGCATAGATTCTAAGCAACAGTAGTAACGGCAACAGCAGCAGCAACAACAACAGCAACAGAAAGCTTAATACGGTATAGAACATTAAGTTCTATTATGGAGCATACCCAGTCTCAAGTTCATTTGTTTCAAATTTACACCGATAGCGTGACTCTGAGAAAATGGTTGATTGTCTGATTGTATGTCTTTTCGTAAACAATTTATTGTTACAGGATGGATCCCCGATCGTTTCAATGGATTTCACCGTATCCTCACCCGTCCGAGTTAATACGAGAGCATCAGCGACCAACAGTCCTTCAACATACGCAATTCGATCACATCGAAGCAGCATCCAGTTCAAATTTCTTCTCTCCTTTCACCATAACTTCAAGTGTGTTGCCTCTCGGATTACGTTGCCAACTTGAGGTGAAAAGCTCCACTGATGTTTAGGTTTCCCCTTCCAAGAGCTCGATTATCGTCTTCATGATGGTTCGTCCATGGTTCATCCACCAAATATCGCTGAACCTGCGGTGGTTGAGCCACCGCCGATGGAAGTGACCGACTTGCAAAAGGACATACCAGAACTCAAATCATTCACCTTGCAAACGCCAAGGAGGTTAGTGTGGAATAATGAGGTTTATCGTAAAAGGTCGCATTTATTCCTTTTCGCTGAATAGTGACAGTTGTAACAAATTGCAGTTCTGTACTAGTAGATTTGGATTATAAGTTCAGTGATTTTCAGCGTTACTGACCACGATTTTTCCTTATTTAATCCCTCTGTGTTTCAATACCCAGTTCCAAATGCAGATCCTGGGCAGTTCCTGTCCAAAAAGGACGTAAAGGTATAAGTTTTGTATCTTGTGGTGATTGACATTCGGATCGAAGAGTGTCTAATTTAGGATGACTACAGCGGTTACTCAACACAGCCTTCACAAAATTACTCTACAAATCCACCGTCTGCTCAGATGTTACGAACGTTTACGTTTGCAAAACAAAGCGATAATGCTCCCGGTACAACACAAGACTGCCAGGTTTGACAAAATCATAGACTTGCAGATATGACCTTATTAAAATGCAGTTAAAATCGAGGTTTCGTCTTCTGTATTAACAAGTTCACGACATACATTTTCCTAATATAATGAGCCATGCTGAAGAAGTCGCACCTATGCAACATTCCTCTCATTTTTTGTAGAAGCTATGCAACAAATTTTTACAAACGCTTCGGTCCTTTGTTGCCTTGCGTCCAAGTAGGCATCTTCTGAAAGTACAGCTTCTGGTGCAATATTATTCAAACCAACAAGCAACGCTTTTTTACTTTTTTAAATTTTTTTCATCTTTTTCTATTTCAGCGTCTATCTTATGAAAAGTGAGGGTTTCGTGCATTTATATGTATAGTTGCTATGTATGTATGCACCTATGCATGCTGTACATATATATACATACAAATTACACATACAAAGGGGCGTGGCAGCTCCGCCCCTATGGTAAACTCGCCCCTCGGCCTGAGCGAATGTCGAAAGTTTATGTGATGAGCTTCATAACGCGCATTTTTTGACTTAATTGAGGGGCTCGACTTACAGGATACCACACTACCTACTGTAGTTGAGACAGAGGATAAGTATATAAGAACATACTATATAAGAACAACTAGCTTCGTAAATAAAAATACAATGTAAAAACTTTGTTTTTGGAAAAAAAATTTAAAGGGCCGGCTAACCCCACTCTCATAGTACAGATTCGTAACTGCATTTGAACTGAGTTCAGGTTTGTCACTCCACTCACGCCAATGGTCTACACTTTGGAGCTCGCACATGCGCTGCTTGTGCAGCATTCTTCCGTCGGACAATCAGTGATGGCAAGAAATATGTATGCAAAAGGAGCCAGCGATGTAACAATCCCAGCAGAGATGGTGAGTTTTATCGTTGAAGATTCACAGCCGAAGTTTCTTTTTGTTTCTGAATAATTTCAAAGTGAATGTTATACATTCAACGTAAGGTCTTGTGAAAAAGATGTTGCAGCCTAGAGCAAATGGAGGGTGAGCACGAG